TTTTTTTGCATTTGCAACTCGAATCCGTGCCCGAAAAGCCTCAACGGCTTAAAAGTTCATACATACTCTAAATTAATTTTTCCCGGCTTAACACCGCTTTTCTGCACAATTTTCGAGCCCGTTTTCTCACTTCATGCTTTAAGTTACCGCAGCTACATGATGTATTATGAGTATTGGAACCATATCAGAAATACTGAGTTTAACTAATGCTTACTAAATAAAAAGTACTTAGGTATTAATTGTCACTACAGTTGTTTTCAGAAGAAAGCAGGACAGAAATACAACAGAAGTATATGAGCTGAAAAGATTAGAAACAATCCAGTCCTAGTGAAAGCGCATTTTTGCTTTGCGCCCTCTCAACACGGGTTATAAATTCAGCTATAAGGAAAATTAAAGGCCTCATAGCCTATCAGGTTCTGCGAATCGAAACAAATTTTTTGCTAAAAAAAACTAGAAAATAGATGCTAAAGTTTTCAAACAAAAGTATGAATTATACCTCATATGTCTTTGTGAAAACGTCGCCTGGTGCCACAAAAAAATCGGCGGTGTTTCCAACTCCATTCAAACGGAAAAATTTTGCATCCGTGACATTGTGATTACGAACGGAGAGTGTTAAATTATAACGCCGTGGATGATAATGCCTGTACTTCTTTGAACTACACAGCAAAGAATTGCTTAGAAGCAGCTGCAGGATCAGCATCAGCCTGAGAGATTGTAGCAAAGCCAGCGAACGGCAGCACAAATGTGATCGGCACATTGAGTTCAATGTTGCTTGTGAGAACTGCTCCTACAAATAAGCACAACTGCAAGACAAACAAACAACAACAGCAGTGTAACAGCGTGCTAGATGCAAAAGACAGTGGACACACGGCGGGCGGACGCGTGTACGGAAGGCGTTAATATTGCGCCATGATGAACTGACCATTTCTGCTGAACTTAGCTCACCAAAATCTTCACTGTGCGCACTGCTTCATTGAAAATTAGAATGTTAGCTTGCATTGAAACTTGAAATATCAACAGTACGAGCTCTAGTTATTGCCGCTGTGAAGCCATAGGTCGGGACAATACGAGACTTGTTAACGAACTTTTATCTATGCGACGAAACCAAACTAAAAATAGAATGCTGTTTTACTTTATTCTAAAATTTTATTGCCAATCTGATTTTAAAACTAACCCAGACTGGAACGCACCGGGCGAGCCCGTGCGATCATGCGTTTTTGCACCGGACTTCAATTAC